AGGGGCCAGTCGCTGGAGAAGGATATCATGTTTGGTAGGATGGAGGGTCAGAGAAAAAGAGGAAGACCCCCAGTGAGATTGATTGGCAAAGAGGCAGCATCAATGGTCTCAAGCGTGGCAACGATAGGTTGGGCCAGGATCGGGCAGTGTTTCATTCTGCTGTGGATAAGGTCGCTATTAGTCGGCACCTAACAACAACAACAACATTGCGCCAAATAAACATAAAAGATTATGTATACTGTTCTGCTTAAACTAGCTCAAGTTAATTACCGTTACTTGCAAGCCAAGAGATTTAACCAGCAGTATTATGTGTTTCTCTAGGGATGTAAGAATTCATGTCTAGGGAAAGATTGCTCTTTAAAAACCAAACAACAGTTTAATGACTCTTCTGGGTATATGAAAGTAAAGCAAAAATTCATTGTGGAATGAAGAAGCTCAGAATAATTAGAAACAACTGTAACACACGGTATGTAAAAGGATGACTACATTGGGCAAGGCTACATCTCTTTTGAGAGGGAGGGAAAAGCGAGTTCTTTGTTTTTTCTGATCAAGGCTGGAGACAAAGAAAGACATGGGAAGATGGACCCATGTCACAGGGAACTAAGTAGACATGTTCCCAATGAAGGGATATTTGATGAAAGAACTCAAGTGATAAATTATGCTGATTTTAAGGTGTTTCTTTTCCCCTTGTGTTATTTTCTGGCTTCCATTTTAAATGTATTTTAAGCATAGACACCTAGTCTCCGCTGTGCTCAAGCTTAAGGAGACAAGATTGCTTTCGCTGTTGTTTCTTTTATATATTCCACACCAACAATTCTACCCTAAAAAATGCTTGACTATGTGCATAAGGAAACTCTCCAAGAATATTCCTAGGGCAAATTTTAAAAAATGAAAACAATATGTCTGTAATGTTTGTTGTTGTTAAGTGCTTTTGAGTCAGTTCTGACTTACAGCGACCCTGTATAGGGTTTCCGAAGTTTTAAATCTTTGAGGGAACAGTAAGTGTCATCTTTCTCCCATGGAGTGGCTGGCGGGCTCAAACCTGGACCTTGCGGTTCACAGTCCAGTGCTTATCAAATGGAGCCACCACATCCCCATGTAATAATAGAGTGGATAAATTGTAGTAGATTCAAATCACAACCACACACAACAGGGATGAATTTTAGAAGCACAATGTTGATTGAAATAATTTTCTTTCATAAACCGCATACTGTTTAGGGATAATGAAAAGTTAAAATGACATTTTAAAATCAGGACAGTGATTACCACATCAGTCATTTAACTTGCTGTGCCCCTGCTTAAATTGGAATGGTGCCTTTGCAGGTGTTCATTTAATTATGTCTCTTAATTTGTGAACATATGTCCATAGGTACACATCAGACAGCTTCAAGTGAAAGACTAAAGTATTTGTCAAATTGCTTGATACTGTATGAAAGTGCTTATGAATGGTGAGTAAAAGTCTTTTTTGTTGTTTTTGAGGATGCAAGGAAGACCTTCCCACTTAAACAGCTGTCTTGAAGCATCTTAGTCAGCTAACCAAACAACAACAAATAACTCGCTGCCCTCCAGGTTTTGTTGGTGGTGGTGTTTGCCTGACAAAGATGCTTCAAGACAGCTGTTTAAGTGGGAATTTCTTCCTCTTCTCCAACAACAAAAATTCTGACACATAGCGAATGGATACGAAAGAGTACAAGACTGACACATTCTTTATTTCTGAAGAATTTTAGATTGTAGATTCTATCCACAGACCTTTTGGTTAACAGACTAACGGTTTAACTACCAGACCCCCATCCTCCTCGGCTATCTAGTTAGTTCGAAGTTATAGTGACCCTATGCACAACAGATGAAATTGCCTTTACTATTGAGACATTGTTACTTTCTGCCTAACATTCCCCAAAAACTCTGTAACTGAGCTGGTGGGACTGAACAGAGACCACAGAAAGATAATTCCTATTTTACACTGTTGCAAAACAGTACTGTGCTTTATAGCTAACATATATATGCGCTGCAACTAGTTTTATGTACTCAATATAATTTCCAAAAGTTATAACACTTTCCCTTTTAGAACTGTAGGGAGGAACTCAAAAACCCAAACCTACCGCCATCCAGTGGATTCTGAATCATATCAACCCTGTATAGCGTTTCTGAGGCTGTAAATCTTTACAGAAGATAGACTACTTTTTCTCTTGCCAAGCAGATGGTAGGTTTGGACTGCTAGCAGTCCAGTTCTTATCCTACAGGCTATCCATCCTACTGAGGCTCCTTGGCCGGGAGGGATAGTCCCTTATTTATCTTTGCCTTTTCTGTCCATGCTTTGGCACCCGCCGTTCCCTGTTGTGAGTTGCCACCTAGTGGATTCCCAAGCAGGTGTGCAGAGTGGAACTGCTCCATAGGGCTTGAAAGAAATGACCTTTTGAAAGCAGATCACTAGGCCTTTCTTTCAAGGAGCTTCTGGATGAATTGAGCCACCATCTTTGCCTCTAGTAGTCAAGTGCTTAACTATTTACACCACCTAGAGACTCTTTGGTGCTTTGTTAGGTCTGGTTGACTCCTGTTCAGCTTTACAATTTTAATTTCAGATGAACACCTCTTGAAACTGCTCCCCCCCACCCCTGATTTCTCATTCCAACATCACAGCTGAGAGTGGTGAGTAAGTTACTTGCTGAAGCCTCAGTTTCCTTGAGGATAAAATGATTTGGGGGTCTGTGATGATAGTGTAGGTAATATACATGTCCAGGCTCCTCCGGTCAGCTAGCTAGGCTCGCATTATTGGACTACTCCTTTTCTCTGTGAGGGTTTGGGTTACTTACAGGGCCTCAGTTTCCCTATTTATCGTCAAGTTAGGTGCTCTGGTAGCGCAGTGTTTACGAATCAGGCTGCAAACCATACAGTCAGCAGTTGGAAAGTACCAGCTGTTCCGCAGGAGAAAGATGAGGCTTTCTGCTCCCGTAAAGATTTGTTGTTGTTGTTGTTGTTATGTGCCGTGGAGTCGGAACCGACTCATAGTGACCCTGTACAGGGTTTCCGAGGGTGTAAATCTTTACGGGAGTAGAAAGCCTCATCTTTCTCCCGCGGAGCAGCTGGTAGTTTCGAACTGCTGACCTTGCGGTTCACAGCCCGAGTCGTAACCACTACGCTACCAGAGCCTCGGAAACCCTGTACAGGGTTGCTATGAGTCTGTTCACAAACCCACCACCACCTTGTGCTTGCAACAGCACTTAGAAGGATGTTTTTGAATGAAAGGATACTACTTAATGGAACCCAGTCACGGCTTAGCCAGTCCTAGTGCCCACACTCTTTTTAGGGGGGTCCTCAGGGCTAAAGAGGACCTTGGGTGGCTGGAACTAAAGGCGAGAGGATGAAACACAACCAACAGTGCCGAGGGAGAAAGGCTATGTGAGACTCGCTTCTTTACCTATTAGAGAGCCAAGACTCCCCAAGTCAGGTTCGTTCTACTTTGTAGTACTCAGGGTTGCCAGGAATGCGACTCCGCTGGACAGTAAAGGGTTTGTTTTTCTGGTGTGGGCTAGAAGGAGCCGGCTCCCCACAGTAGTTGATCGTAGTGTTTACGAATCTGGCTGCGAGCCTTAACGTCAGCAGTTCGAAACTACCAGCTGTTCTGCAGGAGAAAGATGAGGCTTTCTGCTCCCGTAAAGATTTACAGCCTCGGAAACCCTATACAGGGTCGTTATGGGTCAAAACTGACTCCACGGCACATAACATACAGGGTCGCTGGAGTCCTGGGGTGACGCTGTGGGTTAATGCGCCAGACTGCAAAGCCGTTTGAACTGCAAAGTCTGCGGTTCAAGCTCACCAGCTGGTCCTCGGAAACCCTATACAGGGTCGCTATGGGTCGGAATCCACTCGACGGCACTTAACAGCAACATACAGGGTCGCTATGGGTCGGGATGGACTCAACGGCACTTAACAACAACAACCTCACAGGACTCGGAAAGTCGCCCAACTAGGAAGAGGGGCAATTGGGAAGCCGGGAGGAGGAAGCATTGGCGGCGCTCTAGCCCACTGACCTCGCCACAGTGCTCTCACGTGGGCTCCCTCATTGGCTGAAGATCGTCGCGTACACGCGCCACTTCCGGGAGAGAGGCGGTGTCTGGGCGACTTCCGGCGCGAGGCGCCGCGGTCGAGCTGGTCTGGCTCCATGGCGGCCCCGCTGCTTCACACGCGGTTGCCGGGTGATGTGGCCGCTTCGGCCGCTGCCGTGCAGACGCTGGGGACCGCGAGGACTGGGTAAGGGTCAGGGCGCGCTCCGTCCTTTGGCGCGTTTGGAAACGACATCCAAGTTCGAGGTTGGGGCAGCCGATTTGAAAGGGTCTGAGGTGAAGCTGGTGACGCGGAGGAAGAGCAGTGGGCAAGCGAGTCGTCTCCTGTTGTCAAGAGTGAGCCCCCGCCCCGAAGCGGGCAACGACGCGGGAGCGACCCTGGAAAAGGAAAGAAGCCCAGTCTGTGTTCCAGGGTCCTCCCTTCGCCCTGGGCTCCCTCCGAGCGTCCCAGGCCTAGAGACTGCGGTCAGCTCCTTTCCTCCGCCTCTCCCTCCCGTTTCTCTGTCAGTGCTGGCACATTACATCCTAAATGGTGGTGGGTGTTTGAAATTAGTGCGACACAGTTACTTAGCTGTCTTTAGTCACCTCTTAACTTTTAAAGGTCCCCACCAAAAAAAAAACCCCAAACCACAGCCGTTAAGTCAATTCCGGCTCGCAGGGACCCTGTGGAACAGGGTGTCGTTGTTGCGAAGTGCCATCGAGTTGGTTCCGATGTGTAGCGACCCTGTATAGGTTTCCGAGGAGCGGCTGGTGAGTTTGCTGTATGGGATTTCCAAGATTTCTGTAAATATATACAGAAACGGACTGAACTACCTCTTTCTTCTTGGAGCAGCTGGTGGGTTTGAATCACTGACCTTTTGGGTTCGCTGCCGAGTGCTTTAGCCACTGCTCGTTTAAAGCTCCCAAACCCCCTAAAACACTTTAGGATATAACTGTGAGATTCATTAGTTGAATGCTGTTTTTGTAACTAATTTGCTCTGTTTAAATAAGGCAAAGCTTGTAAAACACCATAATAGCATTCATACTGTTTATTGAACCAGCGACTTACTACATTAGACACTTGACAGTAGCCAGCCAAAAGAGACAGCTTTTTGCAACAAAGTTACTTACTGCCATGCTTACAGCAATGATCGTAAACGTGCCGATAAATACATGAGCAGGATGCTGTCAAATGCAAAGAAAGAAAATAATGGTTGAAGGAGTGAGAAGGTGGGTACTTTTAATTTCTGCTGGGGAAGGCTTCATGTTTTAGTGGCTACTAATCAGGCTGAGAACCTTAAGGTCAGCAGTTTGAAACTACCAGCTGTTCCGCTGGAGAAAGATGAGGCTTTCTGCTCCTGTAAAGATTTACAGCCTCGGAAACCCTGTGTAGGGTCGCTGTGAGTCGAAACCGACACCACGGTACTTAACAACAACAAGTAGCATAGTGGTTACGAATCGGGCTGCAAACCTTAAGGTCAGCAGTTTGAAACTACCAGCTATTTCATGGGAGAAAGATGAGGCTTTCTGCTCCCATAAAGATTTACAGCCTCGGAAACCCTGTACAGAGTCGCTATGAGTAGGAAACGACTCCATGGTACATCACGACCACCAGTGACACAATAGACAATCCAACCCCGGATGAAAATGGGAGAAAAGTATTTCTGATGATACAAAGTTAGTGCCACTTTGTACAGATACTGGTTTTCAGGAGTGAAATAGGAACCATTGGTAAATTTGCAGAACTCTGTAGCTGGCTATAGGATAGCAAGTAGGTAGGCACGGGTCAGATAAACATGGGACCTAGAAGTGCAGCTGTGAGACAGTGGAGAGTTTAAGCCCAAGAACAGGGTGGCACAATCGGCTCTCACTGTTTGAAAGACCCCTCTGGCTGCTGAGTGAAGGATAAATTATGGCCGGGGGTGGGGGCACCGAGCATTGAAGCCTTTTGATTTTTGCTGTAGTCATCCCATTGAATGATGATTGGCTTTGATGTTCTCTGTAATGTTCTTAATTACTTGATCTTGGTTCTACAGGATTTCAGATATGCTTGCATTGGAGAATGATTTTTTCAATTCTCCCCCAAGAAAAACTGTTCGATTTGGTGGAACTGTGACAGAAGTCTTGCTGAAGTACAAAAAGGTAAAAGACGAGATAACATGAGGATTGGTTTTTGTTTGTCAGAATTAGGATTTTGAAGCAGTTCATTCGCTTTGACCACGGCTGAGAATCTCTATTTCCACCCCAGATATCCTCAATAGAAGTGTCCATTTTAACAAGGTCCCTTCCCCACACATACACTCTCCGTCTCACTCCCACTCTGTCCCTCCTGGGGATCTTGTTAAAATGAAGGTTCTGGTTCCAGATAATGGATTTTCAGCAGGAGATCAAACCAGAATGAGCTGGTTTGAAGCCTGGTCAGAATATACCCATAGCTTTTCAACTAAAAATGAATAGATAGCCTAAAATGAATTTCATACATCATTCTTGATGTTAAGTACTCAATAACAGCTCAGAATTAGAGTAATAAATAACCAGTCTTTGCTGATGCGGTTTTCTCTGTTCAAATGTTTTATTTACACAGTATTTAGAAAAACAGTTTGCTTCAATAAAGTTACCACCAGCCAATTCATGAAAGAAAGAGAAGGCTGTCTACTCCTGTAAAGATTTACAGTCTCAGAAACCCTGTCTAGGGCTCGACAGGAGGCAAAATTGACTCAGTGGCAATGGGGTTTGCATTTGTATCCATTTGTTTACAGAATACCCATTTATATCCATATGTGTGAATTGATGATATTTTAGTTTCCCTGGATTAGATAATTAGTTGGGTTGTTTTGGGTTTTTGGTTTTTTTTTTTAAACCTTTTTAACATTTCAGAGTACCAACTCTAGTAGTCAGTCAATTGTTAGGGTCCAAATATCTATCCTAGCTAAATATGCATACCATTTCAATTGTCATCTTCATTTTTCCCAGCCTGGCTCCGTTAACATGAGTTCTTAATTTTTTGTGGCCGTGATTTTTTAATCCACAGTTGTTGTGCTAGTGACAATGTTCCTTTTGTAATTTCAAAAGATGTTAAGGGCTGCTGTGGGGACTTAACAAGTTAAGAATTCTGCTGTTGATCAGAGCAAAGCAAACAATCCCAGTTTTTTTTCCCCTTGTCAAGGGTGAAACAAATGACTTTGAGTTGTTGAAGAACCAGCTGTCCGATCCAGACATTAAGGTAATTTGTTCTATCATTAGTAATGTCATTGCCACTTTATACAGACAACACTTTGCTCTTTGGGTCAGTTTCATCCTTTAGAATTCACTCTCTCCGTGATTCCTCCGTATCCGGTGATTCTCAGTCAGACAGTTTTAGCCTGTAATAGTCACTTGGTAATGCCTGGAGATCTTTTGGTTGCCCCAGCTGGGGGAGGGGAATACTACTGGCATCTGGTGGGTCGGTGGCAAGAATCCTGCTGACGGCTCTCACAAAGAAAAGGGTCTCTTGCAGGCCTCTCACTGTTCTCGGTGTTACAGCTCTTTTTGGAGGGTCCTTCTGCTTCTCTACTTCTCAATTCTTTCCTCTTGCCTTTAAAATCCTTTGAGGCTGGCTGCTTCCATAAGCAATTACAGGGCGGATTGAAGCCCTGGGCTAGACAGAAAGTATCAAATCATCAAGTTGTCTACAGCTTATCCAACCTTATCCAACTTGACCTCAAGTCAACCCAAAAGTAACAAACCTGGGTTTGAGAACTGA